GCTGCTTGGCCTGCTGTGTTCATCCAGCTCTACACCTTGTTATCTCAGATTCTCCAGCATCTGCAGTTCCTACTATCTCTGCACATCCCATTTGTTTCTTCTTCTTTCTCTTGAAGACTGGGAATTGCACCTAGGGATTTTGCTTTTCAAATCCTTTTTTGAACTTTGTTCCTTAATCATGTGAAGCTTTTTCAGCATCAATTGCCAGTGGATTATTATAGAGTTGGCAGGAAAAGACCATCATTTCAGGTAAGGGCCTCTGGGCTCTCTGTGGCTGACAACTTGCAAATATTCCGCTTCAAGAAACTGCAGTAATTCAAAGTGTGCTTCTGCATTCCCACCTGAACTTCAAACTCCCAAATTGAAGACATTTCGGTAAAATGACGGCTTTGGGGCTATCTATCTAAAATCTGGAGTAATAAAAGTTTACGAAAATTTTAAGAAGTCCAACATAGGGAGTATGGGCAATTCAATCATATTCACAATTCTATTTCTTCATGTTAGCTGGTTTTGTTTGGAATGAGACGAGTTTGCAGCCATGAGCCAAGTCCAGCAGTATAAAGGTAGATGCCAAATGTCTTAATTTTCCCAGGTTTACCAAGTACTCAACGAATGCGGATACAAATGGAAAAATAACCCATTGCACTCTTTAACTTCCTGTGAAATTACTTGAACTGTCCTTCAGTATTCTCAAAACCAAGCTGAAAATAACCATGTGGTTGGGTCTGTATGTGTCACTGAGGACCTGGTATTCACATGGGAGATGAATTTGAGATGTGCTGTTTGTGGGTCTACTTAAGCAAGTCCAGCTGCTGGCACTGCGCATCGGAAAATGGAAACTGCAGTCAAAAGGTCAATATTTAATGATTAGCAACTGTAAACCTTACAACTTCACTAATTCAACAGCTGACTTATTAACCCTGAGAGAGATGCATTGAGCAATTTCCAGTCCTGGGTCTAACCACGCACTGCATTGATAAAATTAGCACTAGGCCATTTGCAAAAGCTCTTAAAAGCCCATTGTTTGCATCTCTGCAACTTGGTGCCGGTGAACCTTGTCTCCTTTGCTGAGCTCTGCGGGGATTCATAGGAGTAATACCTTTCTGTGAATGTATGTCCTTTCTCTCTTACTCAGTGTAACTGTGAGATGCTTCTGTTGTTGTCTTTAATGCATTCCTGTATGTCATGCGTTTCTATACATTTACTGTGTAGCAGAATGTGCCTGACATCACTGTCACTGCCTATAGCTGATTCTTGTATTAAACAACACATTCCCATTCCTACATTGTATAACTGGAAGGTCAGTGGTGTCTTGCATTAAAGGGATAATAATTAAGTCAAAATGTCAGTGCAGAATTCCAGACGGATGTGGTGTGAAAGTGCTGGTTATTCCTGGTGTTTTGGGTAGCTTGGGGAATAGGGTTGGGGGTTGGAGCAAATTTTTTTGAGGGTAGGGAGGATACAGAGATTCAGTTTTGATCTTAACTGCTGCCGGAAGTGGTGTGGTTTTTTTCTTGAAAGGGTTAACCCCCTGACTTTGGACATGTCTTTGTTTAGGAGGCTTCAAAATTCGCCACAAGACTGTGTCTGTGTGAGAGTGTTTCTGGGGAACACAGTTTGTCTCCATTTATCGGGTAGGTTTATTTATTGGGCCAAGTAACCTTGGAAGCTAAGCCTGACTCTCCTGCAGATACCCCACCAAAGTATGAGCAATCCAGAATACCATCCCTCAATAAACCAGAGAGATGCATGGCACTGGGTTATCTGGGGCATCTGTGGACGATATTGGAGCTGAGACATGTTTATACAAAAAGCAGGATTTCTCCAGGATTTACTGTAATCAAAACAATCATTGGTAGTCCAGGGTTCAGGCAACTGATGTTTGTTCTAGACTGCACTGCTCTGATAATACTGCAAAAGATGTAATGTGACAGAAAGCTAGCATCTCACACCCATCAGTATTTACAGTCCACCTTCAAAAGCTTAGCAGTCCTTTCATTACTGTCCTGGTACTTTGCAAATATTCATTCCTTCACGGCAGTGCTCCCAAAATCCTCATCTGCTGTGCTGGCATAAATTTCAAACCCATTTCATTTTTAACAGCGATGACAAGATTAGCTGAAGGTGGGGGGGTTAGATTCAGCTGTTAACCTGCTGTCACTGAGTGTAACACTCAGTTCTTGGGTATTCCTTGAAATGCCTATTCACAACCTCCTCAGAACAGGTTTCCATCCTTTGCTGACTCAAAGTGCAGAAGGGCAGGTGTTCTCCTGAGGGAGAAGTTTAAACTTGTGAACAGAGTGCAAACGAGGTCTCCTCGAATCCTTTTGGTTTGCAAGTCGTTCCTCCTGGTAAAGTGTTTGTTTGTTCTTTGCCCTGGTTGCAGTTTGATCTCCAGGATGCTGCAAAGGGACCCGAAGAAGAGGGCGTCCCTGGAGGAGATCGAGGGTCATCCGTGGCTCCAAGGCGTTGACCCTTCTCCGGCCAAGAAGCTGAGCCTACCCCTCACTTCCTACAAGAGCCTTTCCGAGGAAGAGCATGAAATAATCATTCAGGCAATGGAATGTGGCAACATCGCACAGAGGGAGCTGATCCAAGAGTGAGTAGATCTGTTATAATGCTTTGGAGACATCTGTTGGGAGAGGTCAGTGTTAATGACCAAGGGGAAGCAGTTTAAAATGTACCTTATCCAGCACCCCAAACACGCCTGCATGTCTGGATATTTTCAATTAAACAAAGCCTGGAGCTGGGTTTTACAGATAACTGTTTCCTCAGTCCATTGTTTACGTGTTTGAGCTTTTACAATCCAAATCCCACCTTGTTTAAGTCGATGTCTTACTCAGTGCGTACCTCTTCCTTTTCCTTGGTGGAGCCAGATAAAGCACCTCCCTGGCCATCACAGGGAAGTCCGCCAGTGGTTTGGCTCTGCATGTACCGTCAGGTTGGACACTTGCGCGGAACATAGCAGCCAGACTGAATTCCCTGCAAACGTACCTGTTGGAGGCAGACCGCTGTACGTGGGAAGGGAGGAGAAGGAGCTGCCGATCAAAGCCTGTGATCGGATTGGAGCTCAGAGGTACTGCTCGTCCTGCTTGTAAAGCCGTCGAACGTTTTTCAGCCCATGTGTAGTCTGGTTTGAGTCTGAATGCAGTGTGTGGGTACACCATAACAAAGCTGGGAGCCAGATTCCAAGGCAGTCCGACTGAGACCTCTCTCTGATGAGGCTGTCATGCTCTTCTTGGTAAGAGCTAACATATTCCTCAATTAACTGCTCAGTGAATTGTTAGGTTAATGAAGCCTTGAACAAAATGTTCAGCAGGTGTGATTTTTTTTTGACAAGGGAAGAATAGACATGATGCAGCTTCTTGGATAGAACTGGACCTTACTGATGCTGAGATGTTTTTACAAAGTGGGGTTTGGGGTTGGCGGGGAGAGCTCAGAAACAAGTCAAGTGGGATTTGAGTAAAACCGAACTATTTAATTAAGATGCATGTTAATTCATTGTAAAAATTAACGGGAGTAAATGGGACAATTTAAATGAGGCATGTGGAATGAAATGGGTAGGTGGGTGAAGATTAAGATTCAATGCCCAGCTTCAGGTGCCCTTGAGTATTGTATTTGAATGGATTTCTCAGTTGTGTATAAGTGGCATTGCCATCTGTCTCTCATCAGTCTGCAGCAGGAGAGGTGAGAGTTTGAGTGCTGGTTGGTGCCTAAATAGTGATGATCTAGCAGATGGCTGCAAACTGCATCAACCATTAGGCCTCACTATTAGAAACAATAACGGATTGATAATGTTGGATCATCTCTTGGACCTTATTAGTGTCGGTAACATTAGTCGCACTTTACAGCTCAGTAACCAAGGCCTCTTGATAGCTTCTCAGGATGACATCATGCCTTTTGGGAAGGGGACAGTGAAGATTTATTTCAGCTTTGTATAATTCATTAGTCCACTTAGCCAGAAATCACGACCTTGTCATTTAATCTTTACCAGATATTGCACCATCAATAAGGATGATATCATAGCTAATTTTAGTTCATGATGCCACCTGGTGCTTTTGGAGAGTACTGCAAGGTCACATCTAAACAATTGCAATTCTAGCTCAAATAATAGCATTTTACTTCAGAAACGTGTGTGAAAACTAAAGGCTCAATTGCAGCATCATTTGCACTGGAAAAGATCCTATCCAGACTAATTAATCAGGCTAAAAACATATAAACATGTAACATACTCCCCACACTGTGTAATGCAATGACTTTTTTACTGAAGCTGAGTGTGCCTTAGTTCATATTCGTCAGATTAAGGGAAAATGCAGCATTTGTTGGTAGATTAATGTGTGCTGCTGATGGACTCCTGATTTAATATTGCCTGCCTGAGCTGTACTTCCTCTTTGCCTCCACCAAAAGCTTTATTCCAACTTTTGTAAACTTCAGGCTGAAGCACTCCAATGATCTCCTCACCAACTTATAACACTGCACCCAAGCTTCCACTGTTCTTGGCCTATTCCACACCTAAATCCCTACGATAGGCTGCCATCCAGTTCCAAAGAAGATCAGGTTCCCAATTTCAGAGGATGTTGTTGGAGGTTTAATTAGCTGTGTTCATATTTACAAATTAAGGACTGTTTTGCATTGTTTTCCTTCTTGGAGCTGCAGGTTATTATCAGGGTCTCTGGGTTAATAGTCCAGCGATAATACCACCAGGCCGATGTGTACTGGCGTGGTTACATTGGTTTTGCAGGTTCCTGAAATAACCCCATGAACGCCAGTATCCCGTCAGCAAGTCACCCTTTATTTACACATGTACGGTACGTGACACTAAGTCCGCTATCTCAGAGCTGGCTCCTAGACCGAGAAGAACTCCTGACACTCCTGTTTATATCTGTCATCCAGGGCTCCCTGATTGGACCAGGTTAACAGCCCCAATCGGGGAACTCACCTGCCTGACATCACGACAGTTCCCTTCCCTGAAATGAGACCAATGAGCCAATTGGTTGGTTGTGACAATTCAGCGGCTTTCATTGCCATTTTATCTGGTGTTAGGTTTCAAATTTGATTCCACCCTGTGTTGGCTTTCACACGAGCTCCCTCTATTCCAGCAGAATGGCACCCATTCCTGTCTATTAAACTAATCTCTGATCGTACGTACTTTGGAAAAGAAACTGATTGGAGTGAGGTTAAAGCTAAATAATAGTTTAGGCTGGCGATTTTTCACTCAGCAGTCTTATGACTTTTGTTGTAGGGCTCTGGAAGCGGATAAATACAATCACATCACAGCCAGCTACTTCCTGCTGGCGGAGAGAATACTGAGGGAGAAGCAGGAAAAGCACACCCAGAGCCGGAACCTTAATCTGGACTATAACTGGAGCACCCACGTCCAATGCAGGTAACAGATTGGGAAACCCTTTAACTTCAGTTTGAGCACTCCTGCAGCTGGATTATAAAGTATGCGGTGTTTTTATTGGTTATCAAGGCCAAATGGCTTTTGACCAGTACCTTCATCCCATGAGGAGGCAAACAACGAACTGACCCAACCGAAGGGCTAGCAGTGTTCACATGTTCAATTTATGTAGCAGTACTGCTCCATATCACAGCCATTGATAGTGTTTCAAATCCTTGACTTGCATATAGTTGACAGGCCTCCTGATAGAGTTAGGATTTATTCACCCGATACACACAGCGCTAAGGGCAACTCTTTCCAAACCTCCCACTTCGAGGATCAAGTGAGTGAGAGCTGAGCAGAACTCGAGCTGGCCTCAGTTGTCAGGACATAAAGGACAGCTTGGATACCCCAGAACACCATTTGAAAAATGACAGGAGTATGCTGTTTGGCCCCTTGAGCCTACTGTGCTATTCAGCAGGATAATGGCTGATCCCTGGACTGGACTAGAGCATGGCGGGGCAGGGGGTGAGAAAGATTAGGCCGCTCCATCACTGCTTCTTACCAAGACTCCATCTCTTTAGAGCTGAGCCATGTGGCCGGCTGTCCTTTGGTAAAGCTACTTTATGTATTGTCAGGATGTATCTCCACGTTGGTAGCTGCACCTGGTATTAGAGTGTGTCAAATCTTTTGAAGGTGGTTTTAATCTCCCTTTAACAAGCTGAATGTGAGCGCATGGGACAGGACCCACCCTTGTTTCAGCCGCATGCTGTTAAATAGTTGGGTGGTTGACACAGGCAGTGAGACATTTTGTATTGGTATCATGGGAGGCATTTATTTGATTTTTAAGGTTTATTAAGGGATAGGGAGATGTAGTGTGTGCTCAGCAAGGCTTGGAATAACCCCAATGCACCTGTCACTGATTGATTGTATTTAAAATGCAGAACTTTCGTTCTCTTACTGTAACATCCTCAGAATTTTATTGCGTTGCAAATTGCAACTCAAACTGCGAAAGGTCAGGTCGTGCGCATCTCGGTGGATGTATGACTTTGCAGATTCTTTATATGTACACTTTCTCTTTTCAGGCCATCGCTGTCAACAGCGGCAAACAGCTTTGTGGATGCCACTGACAGTAGTCCCTTGCCTGAAATGCACAATGGGTTTTCAATAAAGCACTCTACTCCGACCACAGTCCAGAGAAAACAACCGGAAGCTGAGCAGAAGGATGCGGAGGAGGAGGAGGAGATGGGAAACACTAAAGACATTGCGAAAGTTGTGACTAATGCCCAGGATAGTTCTGTGACACCATCGCCAATGAGAGTTCTACTACGCTCGTCATTGGAAACCTCTGTCATGCCAAAGAACATGCCCGTCCTCCAACAGATTTGTGAAGAAGACGAAGATGAAGAGGAGGAAGAAGATGCAGAGATGGAGATCAAAGCTACACCTTTGCCAAACATGATGCAAGTTCCATGCGCCGGTACTAATCAGCAAACCTCGGGCTGCCCCAGCAAAGACACCGAGATGGACGGCAACAAACTCTTTCACGAGATGTGGAGCTGCCAGCGGGAAAGTGGGGTGATGAACTCCTCAGTTGAAGTGCCAGGGTCAGTGGGGCCACTCTGCTGCAGCAGGTGGGCTGGGAAAAGTGAGCCGCTCTCCAGTTACTTTGCGAACCGGCCGATCAACCTCATGAATGAGAGCAACAACAACAGCACCAGCAAAGGTATCATCAGAGCTCCTGTAGACATTAGCGACATCAGTGTTCAGAAGGCCCACCCTTGCCCGCACTCTCAGCAATGTCCGGCCAGCCTAGACTCTAGAGTTACTGAGTCCATAGTGTGTAGCACTGACTTGGCCAAGGACAAACTGCAGGGGCTACAAAAATGCGAGGGCCCGAGTGTGGAAAGTCCAAAGCACCTGATTGACTGGATGGCTGAGAACAGTGGGTTGGCAAACGACAATGCAAGCATTGACAGCAGTGCAGACCCTGTGAATAAATTTGATTCTACCCGGTCAAAAAACATAAACATTAGGGACCGGATTCTGCAAATCCCACTCTGTGAGAAAGCCCTTTCCTTTAAGATCAAACCGAACTCTAAAGAAAACCTCCTCTCCTTTGGACAGTTCAACTGTTGTCATGTAATTTAGTTTTTTTTTAAGAAAAGAAAAATTATATAGTTTGTGTGTGTCTACACACAATCGTTGTAAATATGTATCATCTTTTACAGACTAGGGGGTACGGCATTAGAAAGGAAGGATATTTAAGGTTGGTCTCTGTCTGCACTCCCAAAGTGGGGAGCTCTGTCTGTCGTGAATGTATGTTGGAAGCCAGTGATTTCCTGACTTGTCTGTTTAGATGGTGGGACTCTCACCAATAATTGATCCATAGACCCAGCTCCCCACCTGAAGTGCGAAATTGGAAAAATAACCCTTTAATTCTCATAACGGAATAACGGGTATAAAGTAAAATACAATTTGGTGCTTCTTTCTGAGTTGGAAGAAAGTTCAAAGTAGTTCTCCGTTCTTTGTACCATCCTTCGCTGCTGTACCACGTTGGAACATAAATGGGTAGTCATGCGGTGATTATACCCTTTTTAGGCACAGACCCAGTATCCCACGTTCAAATTTCCAGATTAGTTCACTGTTATCTTGAGAACCCGTTAGTTGATGAGACTCAGTGTTTGGGGAATTTCCTCACGTACATTATATGACAGCATACTGTAGACATCTGCCCTGGTGCAGTTAACTGAAGTGTGTACATAATAGTGTACTTCCTTCATTGTCACCTTTATATTAAAAAAAATCTAGTGTTCGCAGATTAATTTTCACAGGTCTGTTTTATTACCTGTATAAGAAGTGTGACTTTTAAGTGTATAGTGTGTGTTCCTCTTCCTTCTATTGTAAATGCTAATCCTTCATTGTACATATCGCACTGTTAGCTCTGGAAGCTGCCCTGCACTAACATGTGAATATGAAATAGTAATTTTCCCAAAATAGTACATATTTTTAAATACTGTAAAGTACAACATTGTAATTTGTTTGTCCACCTCTTAAACCTAAGATAAATTCATGAAAGATTGTGGAAAAATTATGCCTCTTTATTAGGTATATACCATCCTAAAATAGGATGGCATGGCAAAGTTCACACATGAGCCGAGTGAAATGCACAATTGGAGCGCTACTCCCCACTTTCCCAGTAAGCTATACCAGCTATTGGATACGTTCCCCAGTCACTGTTATAAGCGATTAAGGAATTATGTCCTCTCACTTACTGCAGTCCTTTCTAGGACATCCAAGAGGCTGTCTTGATGAATTTGAATCTTGCATCTTAGTTGTTGTGTGACTGGTTGTAGAAGTAGCCCATGGGCTGCAAGATCTTCTAAGTGACTGTTCCAAATTGACTGTCAGCCAGCACCTTGTTAGAAAGACCACACAGTGTTAAAGTAGCAATATCCCATCCACCACCATTTTCTTCCATCTGGGTCTGCTTGTCCTTTAATTTTTCCTTTAAATTACTTTTTTCCACAAATAAAAGATGTGGCCATGGGTACACACTAGTTATGCCTGTCCTTTACTGGGGTATGTGGAATACTCTTGGTTCCAGTCCTGAACCCCTGCAACCACCACCCCGCCCATCCCATTTTCTGTTTCTCCCTCGCCATCTCCCGCGTCAGCACTCCTGCAATCTCTTCCCCTTTTCATCAACCGAAATCTCCACATGTTAACAGGAAGGTAATTCAGCGGGAGTGGGATGGAAATTCACCTGATTTACCCACGTTCCATGCAAGCTTGCGGATAGTGCCCAACTTGTCTCCCGTTGTCCATATCAACCCTTGACTAGGGAGGAAATGATTCATCCTGGCTTATACTGCTGAAGGCCTTTCTGATAGAAGGTGTATGTAGTTAAGAGCAGGATTGAGTTTTCTTGTAATGCTGACCATTCCCTCTCCTCAGTGGCTCAGTAGTCTTACACACTAAGATTCTGATGGACTCCAAAACCGTAAAGAGCAGTCACTTTGAGTTGTTGTAGAAAATAGACGTGGATCAGAGAAAATAGGTTTAAGTCTGGCAGCGGGTGTGGAAGCAAACAGGTTGGGTTAAATGGCTTCCTTCCACGCTGTAACCATTCTGTCATTACCCAGTTCTCAGCTTGTTACATCTGCGTGGGCAGTGTATCAAGCAGTGAACAGGAAGTCAACACCAATGCTGTTGTCTTAAGGTCCTGGCACTGTACTTAAATGGTATCCAAATGTTTCTACCAGCCCAGAGCGTCATTGGGGCTCCTAGGATGGGTGCCTTCAGTTAATCATTCTGATGTTTCCTTGGTAAGCCAGATTACACCCTTGGCCAGCCTCCTTGACACATACCCATTATTGTCCCTTGATTAAACTCCATGCCCTGTGCAACTTAGACTGTGGCCACTCAATCTCAATCATGGCACACTATAGATGAAGGCTGCGCAATGAGGGCAAAGCAGCAGCTTTTCCAATATCTTCCCTGCTGCTGCAGGCATCTGATATAAAATCATGAATATGACTCATTCACTCACTCATGGAAAATCTCAATTGGGAAGGGAATCTTAATTTTGATGAGCTGGCCTTTTCAATGAGTTTGCATGACGTGCAAATGCATGCAAAATGTGTTTCCTGAAGTTTGCAATCAGGAAGCTTGACCTGCCTGCAAGGTTCCAAAGATTTTCATTATGAACCTTCTTCCTGTCTATTGGACCCTGATTTCTTTGGGCAATTGTTCCCTGAACCACCATCGCCCTGCTCCTGGGAGCAGCTGAAGATTGTATCCTGGGATTGGGAACCAAAGACACCAGGAACAGGAAGGCTCACAAACCAGAACATGGATTTGAAAGTACTCACTATGCTAAAATTTGGCAAAGAAAGAACATTTGCTTGACCTAAGATTTTTAATAACAATTTGCAACTCTGAGCAGGAGATTTTCGTCTTCTTTGCGCATCTTTTAGTAAAGATGACTTGGAGGTAAAGGCAGGCAAGACATGTGTAGACCAGTTCAGTGATGACAAGTTTGGAAACCAGCTTTTGAACTATATTCAATTATGTAATTATAAGTAGCTAACATGCAACATTAGCAGCATGTGGTATGATTTTCTGTAATTAGACAAAATGCATCCCATGTTCCAACTGTATTCTTTCATTAGTCTCTGGCTGGAATCAACCCTGAACTTAATTATGAAGTGTTACCAAAGTACTGAAGATCCTTCTAATACTAATTAAGATGATTTGATGTTTATTCAGCTTGCATTTATGTGGTCTTCCTAATTTGTAGGTTTATTTGTCAAATATGTCATAGAATCCCTACAGTGTGGAGGCAGGCCATTCGTCCCATCAAGTCCATACAGACCCTCTGAAAAGTATCCCACCCAGACCCACCCCCCTATCATATCCCTATATCCCTGTATTTCCCATGGCTAATCCTCATAGCCTGCACATTCCTGGACACCAAGGGCAATTTTCCATGGACAATTTTCCTTGGCCAATCCACCCACCCTACATATCCCTGGACACTATGGGCAATTTAGCATAGCCGTTCCACCTAACTTGCACATCTTGTCAAAAATTTGTCAAACATGAATAGGAAAGATTTAGAGGGATATGGTCCAAATGCAGGCAAGTGGGACATGTTTAATTTGGGAAATTTGGTCGGCATTGATGAGGGGTCAGTTTCCTTGCTGTAGGACTCTGTGATTAAATAAGGAAGGAAGTGAGAGAAATGGAGAGGCTAGTTGAAAAGGAGAGCAGTAAGAATGGTTGGTTGTGGGGAGGGGTGTTTGCAACTGGAGGGAGGAGGGGTGAGATGATGGGAGGAGTATTCCAGTGGCTATGCTCACTGAACAAACACACTGTTGCGTGGAGAGATTGAGGTCACAGCGTAATGACTGGGAACGAAAGTAAGTATGACAGGAGGAGACTATGCAGATAAAGATGGCCAAGGCCAGGGAGAGATTTGAAAATGTTGAGAGAGGTCCTGAAGATATTCTTGAAGGTTGGAGAAGCCAATGTAATGGGATTGTGGGACTTTTTATTTCAAAGGAAATGAAGTATAAAGGAATGGAGGTCTTGCTAAAACTATAGTTTGACCACAGCTGGAATACAGTGAACAGTTCTAGTCCCCTTATCTAAAGAAAGATATATTGGCATTGGAGACAGTCTAGAGAAGGTTCACTAGGTTGGTTCTGGGTATGAACGGATTGTCTTATGAAGACGTTGAGTGGGTTGGCCTGTACCCATCGTAGTTTAGATGAATGTGAGGAGACCTTATTGAATCATAAAAGATTCATAGGGGGCTTGACAGGGTGGATGTGGAGAGGTTGTTTCCTCTCATGGGAGCGTCCAGGACCACACCGCATCATCTCGGAATAAGGGGTCACCCATTTAAGACAGAGATGAGGAACTTCTCTCAGAAGGTAGTGAATCTGGTGTTCTTTCCTGCAGAGAGCTATTGGGTCATTAAGAATAATCAAGTCTCAGATAGGCAGGTTGTTCATCAGTAAGGGAGTCAAGGGTTATGGAGAAAAGATAGGATGTTCCAGATTATCAGATCAGTTGCGATATAATTGAATCATGGAAAAAACTTGATGGGCCGAATAGTCCACTTCTGCTTCTATGTCTGATGGTCTTAAAGAGCAGGTCAAAAATGTGGTTATAAAACCTTCAATCTGTTACTTAAAAGTGTAAGGGTCTGAAAACATTAATATTAAGGAGTGCCTTAAGTACCATCCAATATGATAATATTTGGTTTTGCAGAAAGAGCAGTTTCAAATCTTGAGTGATAAAGATCTACCATCTGGGTCTGCCACATAGTCTCTGTGACAATGCCTATCACATCAGTGTACCTCGTATAAAGCTGCTAGCATGCAATAGACTACATCTTGCTTAAGTCAACAGTCTCTTCCTGTTAGGCCATCCAGTGGTTTTTGTCTACTACATCAGATTAATCAGGCCCCACTGATCCTGACCCTGGAAGAGGATGGTGGCACAAATGTGCAATGAAGAACAGAGCTCAGACACCACAATGAACAGTGGTACAGATTGTTCATGCAACAGGCTCAGCCTAGAGTTTGGAGAGAGACACATAGCAGCACATTGGAGAATTTAGTCCTTGAAATGATGATGGCATAGCAAGATTTTAAAGGGGAGAGTTGTGTGGCGAGAGGGATATTCTTATAGAGGGTACAATCTGCTTTAGTCTCAGGATGTGGAGGCTAAACAAACTTTGGGATTAAGGAGAATTCCAATATTACAAGCTTCCTGATTGAGGCTGGGATAGCAGCCAGGGAAGTTGGAATCCAGATTCTCTGGGAATCTTTTCTGATAACTATTTGACACTTCAGCTAAGTACAAATAACTTGCAAGAGTTGGAGCTATTCTAACAAGCTTTTTATCCCCAGTACCTTTAGTGGAGCAGGAGAGAATGCACATAACAGATCACAATGTATTGCTACTATCAAAATATTTCAGCTGTTCTCCAACTTCTGAGTACTCAGGTGGATTCTCTAAACCTTTTCAATAACGTGGCTACTGATACCAGGTGCTATTCCTGACAAGGCTGATATTGGGCGACCGGAAGGTGCAAGGATAATGCTGTTAAACATGAATGCATCACTCTCACTTTCTTCTGCTCTTTTCCACTCTCTCTATTTCACCCTTCCACATCTTTCACACATCCCCCTTTTTCACTGTCTTTCTGTCACAACTCCTTTTATCCCATTTCTTTCAATATTGATGGCATTCCATGCAGGCACATCCAAATTGCAGTCCTTGTAACATACCAGGGAATATAAAC